ACAAGAAATACCTAAAATTTCTATAATGCAGTCTGATCTATGATCTGTGAGCATCTGATTTATGAATGTATTCATCACTTCATTCCCTCACTGAAATGCATTCATATACAAAGATGTCTTCTATTTAACTAATTGTGCTGCAGCAGCAATGCTATGGACACCTTTTTCCCCCCAAGGATGAGGAAACTTGGCTATGCATTTTAATGTATGCTTATGTAGCATTCTGTGCAGCTCTTTTGTATTGAAGTTCTACTTTTGCTGGTATTTTAGTGTTTCCAGCAAGAAGAGTAGGCTTGTGATCAGGATTAGATGCAATACAATCAGTGTATTTCAGTGACTTTCTTCCTCAAGAGCAACTTGCTTTTTGGAAAATGATATCAGCACTCCAAGGGGGTGAAACCTACCTGTTGGTTGTTGAACTGTTGGTCATTCTCACTTCATTTTACACCATTTTATTTATCTGTTTCCTTAATTACCACTTTTATGGGTCTGTGTGTTCTTACCCAAAGGCATTTAAACTTGACAGTGTAATAGATTGTGCTGTGAAAGCTAAATAGCTGTTTATTACTTATCCCTGCTAATTTGGGCTTTCCCACATCATTACCCATGTGATAATGTCCGTGATATTTGTGGAAGTAGTTTTCTGTACAAACCACTGCATTCAATTCAATTCATTCTCATGCTGCATTCAATCTTACTTCCTGACCAAGAAATACAGCAAGAATGCATTAAATCATTCTTCGCTTATAAAGTAATGATTTAACCACAATTAGCCATGCATTATTATGTTAATCACTTGTGTATTACTTTGAATCTGCCATTTTGGTTCTACTCCCTTGCCTTTCCCTTTGTTCCTCCTATCACTTCCCTATTTTAATTTGTTCTTCACTTGTGAAAGTAATGCTTGCTAATGTTGATGCTCAGAGGTGTTTTATTTAGAAAATTACATTAAAGACTTGAGATACAGCATTCTAATGGCTTGTGAATGATCAAAAATAGTTGTAGGCTATAGATTTGGACTTCATGTTTCTTCAGATTTGGATTGTAGCTTAAACCAAAAGAATTGCTGTTTTCAGAATTGCTGTGGACATGTTGAGATGTTGTCATGTCAGAACGGAGCCACGAGGTTATCTGCAAGCTGGCTAACTTCTCCTGGCTGGGAGGAGGGCAGACGTGCCGGCCCAGTGGGTGACTCAGGATGCTGTGTGGACAAAAGGAGCAGGGTTTGTGCCTGGACCTTAGAAACTGCTCTTTGTTGCCCAATTCCTTTATCTCCTAATGGTAAAAATCGTACGGATAGTTCCCAAAAAGCAGAGATCGAGTATAAATCTGATTCTTGCTGAGGCTGCAATAGCAAGACTCATTAATTTAAACCAATTTTGTTTTGAACACAAACCAACGTTACACATCTTTGAAGTTCTTATGGCTGTATTTTTTTCTTAGCTTAGAACTGTATACGAATGTTATTTGTTTACTTTTTAGTAGTCTTTTATGTTAGATACCCTGCTTTTTTTGTGATGGTAGAGAAACTTGTTCTGTTTCTCAGCACTTTACAAAGCTTTGTTTATTAGTAAGAAACTTAAAGTAATTCAGATTCCCCATTTCCAACAGATAATCTGTTCTAAGTCATTTTGCACTGAATGTGTCACCAGTTGCTCTGCTGACTGGAAGGGGATTCTTCTCCCACCTCTTCGGGAATGCTGCGCTATAAAAGGGAGTCATTGTCACCACTGAATAACTCTCTTCTGCTTTGTTCCTTATTTTCCTTTTAATTCTTCTTCATCATCAAAGTGAGGTTTGTTTTTACGGCAGACTTCCTTTCCCTTACTGGACTGATCTCCTTTCAAAAATAATCCACTGTCCAATAACAAATGTTATGTATACCTCATCCATCTCTGTCACATCGAGCCAGCATAACAACACACAAAGAAACAAATCTCCCTTTCAGTGGATACAGCTGATGGTTTCATGCAGTGTGCTGCTCAATAAATGCACCAATTTTAATGTTCTTCCAGGTGAGAAAATGCTGAGCAAGTGTTGGCTCACAGAAGCAGAAAGTGCATATTAGCTATAAAGTAGGGCTGTTACTTGTGGACTAATATTTTAGGTTATAATCCTTAAAAGGATTGTGCTGATCGTGAGCTGAGTCCGTGGAATTGCTCAGGTTTGTTTTCTTTTAAGTTGCATCCAAGCAAAATTAAACACAGCAAAATAGAGACTTATGCAGTCATCTCCAGCTGAAGCCAAGTGAGCCCACTGCAGAACACATCTGAAACTCAGCCTGAAGAGTTATTGTGATCCACTTGAAAAATGCAGGAGTCTTTAAAGGGGATGCACTATTTCAGCTGCCTGAGTACACTCAGCAGTGAGAAGCAATAACAGTTCCTATGACTTTGTCTGCTGGGGGGAAGCTGCTGAAGCAACTTCTACATCACTTTAGATCTGAGCCACTGGAAATAAGGCTGAGTTTTATCTTAACTCCACATTTCCGCGGTTTCGTGAGTTCAAACGCTGTTGAGGGCATTTCAAAGTTATGTGTGTTGGTGGGCTAGATGTGGTTTGCTGTGTCATCCGGTGAGAGGGAGGGAGACAGTGAAGTCTGTGTGTTCCATCACTGAGTGTGGAAAATTCAGCCTTGCTGCAGTTTCTTCCTTAGAAACCGATCCAAGTAAATGCTTCATTGGGCTGAAATAGAAGCTCTGGAAAAAATAAAAGGAATCCCCTATCATACAAGGTGGGGTATGTAAGGAAGAAAGGAGCACAGCCCTGCCAGAAAGGACATCGTGGGGGTACTGATGGGTGGAGGAGAAGCTGTTTGACGATAAGGATGACGAGCCACTGGCACAGGTTGCCCAGATTGATGATGGATGCCCTGTCCCTGGAGACACTCAGCTCGGGCTGAATGGGGCTCTGAGCACCTGGTGGAGCTGTAGGTGTCCCTGATCACATTGGGGGATTTGGACCAGATGGCCTTTAAGGATCCCTTCCAACTCAAACCATTTTATGGTTCCATAATATATCTTCTTTTAATTGGAGTGTACTCATTCAGTTTATTTCTCGGCTCTGTGGCATGTAACTGAACGGAGTTTCAAACTTTAGCAACAGATTTTAATTTGAACTTTTTGCCAGCTTTATATTTTCTTATGCAATTTACTTTTTAAAATTAAGAGCACATGTTTTCCTTCCAAACAACATGCAGTACATTTATTGACATTTTAAATAAGCCAAAGTGAGTGAGCAACCTTCTTTTTTTCTTTCAAGTCTACTTTTTCCCTACAGGCAAATTGCTGTGGGCTTTTGACTCACCCTTTTTATGACACTATTTCAGCACTATTCTTAGTTAGAATTCTAAGTTACCCCTTTGAAACAGGAATAGAAATCACCATCTCAGGTAGCAGTTTCTTCAGCTATAGGACTGTTACGCATGCATGTGTGTACGTACATTCAGCGTGCCGTAAAAATTCATGTGACACCTCTACCTGTCATGGAGTTGACTTTAAATACTTGTATTTCTGTTCTCTTGGGCTATCCTGCAAGCTAGTGGCTTCTTTCAATTTGTTTTCCTTTATGTTGATGAAGTCGTTACACAGAATGCTTGTGTTGTCTGGACCATGCAACAGTTTGGTTTGCGTTGTTCGCAAACATAGATCTGAGCATCCAGAAGAAGAATTTAATTAACTGAGAAGTGGGATTCAGTTTTACAACCAGTCTAAACAAGCATCGTACATCCCAGTCTCACATACGAGAAGTGATATTTTATAATTGAACCTTTTGTGGGTTTTTTCCCCCAAAATTACGAAAGAAAACCAAACCAAAATAACAATAACGACAAAATCCCTAACAGCAGCAAAAAAACCTTACAGTTTTTCTGAAGTTTTATATGTCATGGATTTTCCACTGAAAATTATGTCATCTTGCGTTGTGCATTTTTTTTCTGCTAATACTAATTTGCCCACATTTAAGTCTAATAATACTTTATTAAACCTGACACATGGAATAGCAGAATCTCAGTGATGGAAAGTTTGGGATTCATTTCCTTTAGCAGTTTTAAGTTATCCGTGTCACAGAAAGTTGTTTTCTGTCGCAAGTTGTTCGGGTGTAAGCTGCTTCTGCCAGCGACTTTGTTTATGGGAAAGAAATCTGGCTGTGAGAACCAGACTTATTTTAAGGTAATTGACAAGAACTGTGTCTGTGATCCCCAATGTAAGCTTTTCCCAGTCACTTTGGGGAGATTAGATGTCTCTTAACATCATCTTACTCGCAGTGAAGTTGCTCCAAAAGGACTCCCATAATCATATTAGTTTCGCTGCCATCACCCTGTCTTCAGATTCTTTCTTCTTTCTTAATAGAACCAAATCTGCTTTTGCCATCTATTAGGTCCAACGTTAATGCTCTTTTGCATGTTAATTACTCTTACTTTACCTATAACATTCAGCTCACTCTTGTGGCTCCCCAGTTTTGAATCTGGAAGCTCGGTGCCATTGCTTTTTCCATGTGGCAGTAGAAAATGCTGCATTGTGCTATTTAATTTTCCAGTGTCTTTATACAGGAATTATTGAGTATGGAATGGAGTAAATAACTCAGGAGTTCACTCATTTATCCTGGTTTATCATATGATTTATGAATGATTTTTCCTTGTATTCTGAGTGAGCTTTAGCGTGTTACCCTAAATATTTAAGCAAATTTCTTAGGAATCTTCTGAGTGATGTAATATCACAAAGTTTCTCTTACAGAGATGCAAGTTTGAAGAAGACTTTTTAAAACAAAGTGAGGATGAGGAATAATCTCTCAAGAAGAGTAATTGTTACTGTTCCAGGGGAATAGCTATTAAAAAACTGAATGCTACATTCATCACTTTAGAGCATACCATCCTATAGAAATTGCAGCTGCTGTCTTCATCAGTGCAGCTCTTCTCCCCTTAAGTAAAAGGCACTCACTCAAACATTTTGTTATGATCTTGGTGTATAACGCTTCTCTGAAAGAACTGTTCTCTATTTCAGGTTATCTGTGATCTGGAAAACCAAATCCACAAGCTGACGGAAGAGCTCATTCAGGTGAAAGCTCAGCAGAAGCAGCAGCTGATGGAGCTGAGCCTTCAGAGGGAGCAAGAGAGGCAGAGGGCAGCGCGAGATCACAGGGCAGCGGTCAGTCAGCTGAAAGCAGAGACCGAAAGGATGGTGCAGGACCTGAAGAAGGTGCATGCTGCAGAGACAGAGAAGGCCTTGGACAAGGTAAGGAAATCATCTAGGGCTGCTTCTTGTGGCACAGCAAGTGGGGAGTGATTGCCTCAGAAGTCAGATAACCACAGGTGTACTAGTGTAAAAACGTATAGGGGTCGTTTTGAGTTGAGAGATAACAAGGCAGTGTGCTGTACAGCTGCTTCGGATGCCACAATCACTGTGTGAGTATGGCAAGTTTTGTGATTCTGTGGTGAAAGCATTCTGTCTGAAGATACGATGGCAGCAGTCATACTGTGGCTGTTACCTTCTGGCTGCTCTGTGAGCAGGATGACCATGACCTTTAACGTCCAGATGATTGCAAAGTGAAACCTAGCCGAGGACTAGGCTGGCTGCTTTAACTTTATTGGATAAGAGAGAGCAGAAAGTGCAGCTCTGTCTAACCACACTTTTTCTCCCTCCAAATGCTCCATCCCTGAAGGTGCTCAAGGCTGGGATGGATGGGGCTCTGGCCAGCATCATTGAGTGGGTGGCAACCAGCCCATGCCAGGGGACTGGAACTGGGTGGGCCTTAAGGTCCCTTCCAACTTGAGCCATTTTATGAAAATAAGGGAAGTTCAAGCTAAAATTGCAAGGTGATAAGGTTTAGTTGCTAACAGTGTCTGGACTACTTCCATCCTTGTTCTGTTCAGAGTGGTCACTGCATATCAGTGCACTGATGGCTTCCTGGCAAACCCTACTTTACCAGCTTCTGAACTGAAGTGTTTTACTACAGGAGGGATGATATGAACTGAAACACGTTAGTTTTATTTCAAAGGCTGAACTAAAAAAGCCTACCTAATATTGGTGGTAGACTAAGGGCTATGTGTAAGCAGATAATTGTTGAAGTGTCTTTTATATTCGTTAATGTTATGAGTGATACATTTTATTGCCCGCTGATGTACAGCGGCACAAATTAACAGTCTGCATGTACTGTCTGAATGGCCTTTGTGAAAGTGACATTTCATTTACCTGCGTCAGGTTCTTGGTCTGTAATTTTAAACAGCACTGGGAGGATTATGTTGGAAATCAGCCAGCCTGAAGCCATTAAAATGGCTGTGATCAACAATTCAGAATCTTTTCTGAATGTAAGGAAAGCTCCGCTTGGCATAATTATTTAAAGCCAAGGTCACACAAAGTATTTAAACCTTTGAAATTCATCATTAAAGGATTAATTTTAACTCAGGAAGACATTGTCATTTTTGCTTAAAAATGGAATTTGAATCTCAATTCTTTTCTTTCTTTGATCTTTTTTTTACATGTGTAGTATAGCAAAAGAAAAGTTAACTTCTTTACATCCTCAAATTAAAGTTACAAATAATCCTTCATAGGGAAATATCTTTAATAGTCTTGAATTGTCATTTCTGTCAGAAATATATATTTTTTGAATTTGTTGGATTTTTTTTCCCATTTTTCCAAATAAAATTGCTAATTTTCAGCTTTATTATTAACTGCTATTAATTTAACCTACTTTTTTTTTTTTTTTTTTTACCTCTAATCAGAAGAGCACACGTTGAGTAGAGAATAAGGGGCAAAAAAGTCTGTTAGCAAGTCTTTCATAGACATGAAGAAATACCTTACATTGCCTTCGTACCTCCCTCTGATGTTCTTCACTTCTTCCAAATGCAGAGCTGTAGAAACTGACCACAAAGTCCAAAAGTCAGAATAGCATTTAAAGGTCAACAGTAACAATTTCAGCTGACTTATTTTCAAATCTTGAGCCTATTAAAACCCTTAGAATTTTAGACGGGGATTTTATCTGAGGGAGAGAAGAGAATAAAGCACCTTAATTGCAGCGTGAATCTTGAAGCTCGTTTTTAAAACAAGTAAATCTCATTCCCCTGAAGTGTAGGACAACATGGGAGAAAGTTTTGTCCTCCAAATGTAATTCTTTTTGCCAAGTCTTTAAAGAGTGTTTAAAAATCCAGGAGGAAGCTGGATTTCACTGTTTAGGCTTTGAAATAGTCATATGGATGTCCAGATTTCTGAAGGTCAGTTCATTCCCATGTGAAGGAGCTCGTTCCTTCTGTGAGTTCTGTGAGTAATACTGATTCTTGTGTGTATTGCTTCATGAAATTGTGAAGAACTGGCTAAAATTTGAGTGGAAAAAAAGAGTACAAGGAGACACAGGAATCCTATGGTATTGCCCTCCCCATAGCCCTGCTGCAGTGGGGATGGGAGGGAGGGGAGTGGGGAGAAGAGTTTGAAGAACCAATTTCTATTGCAAGCACACTGGGCATTTAAATATCTGTTGGTATTGTAGGCAGCTCTTCCATATTTATGTAAGCAGTGTTCTTTGCTGGGACCTTTGAAGTTGAGATTTTAAGCAGCAGAAAAGATGAGATATTGCTTACAGTAGAATTTTGGTGATTATGGCATATGATTCTGGAAAGTTACCCAATAAAAGTGGTATTGAACCTGTGATTCCAAAACCAAGTATCCTTTGACAGTTATTCTATCTCTGCATCAGTAGGGAATGATGAGTGGGAAAAAATATGTAACAAATTTCCAAATGACGCTGTGTAACCCATGCTATAGGAAAAATAAATGTATCCATTGTTGTGGAAGCAATTATAAAGGAAACAGGCCGTAACTTTCCAGGGACCCCCTCTGTGGCAGGCAGCATTTTCACTTAAACACCTCCTTGCACAAAAGTGAGTGACAGGTGACCAAAAAAAATGGACATTATAAATGGTGTTGAACCTGGTTTGGACAAATTGTGGCACTTCTGAAGTTTCTCCATGCTGATCACCATCCCATGAGCTCTTTGACCTCTGGAGAAGGTGGTGAGGGCTCTGCCTCAGTGGGAATCAGCATGGAAGCTGTGCCCCTGGTCTGCACGTGCCCTTGGTCACAAGTTGAAAGGGCTCATGTCCAGCCTCTGGGGAAGGGGCACAGACACTCCCACCCCAGCACTTATGTTCCTGGGGAGCATCTGCCCAAGACTCAAGTGTTGGAGAAGCCCTTATGTTATTTGTTGTTGGTTGAATGTAGTGTGGTATGCTTCCACGTGCACAGTTTCATGCTGTTCTATCAAACTGGATGTGTTTGTGCTTTTCCTCGATTGGGTCTGACCACGTGAAGTCTCCCATGTTCATTTTGCATCTGCGTCCTTCCTAGTGGTGTAAGCAGTGCAGCTGAGGATATGGATATTCACAGGTCTAATGGGCTTTTTTCGTCTTTTCTATGTCTCCTTCCTTCAAAGGGCTGTGGTGTTGTGTCCTCCAGAATGGGAGAACAAGGCAGGAACTCCTTTCATTGATCTGTCCTCATTTTGTAAGCAGGGCTGTTGCCACCAGCCTGTGTGCGTGTGATATGGCAATAGGGCTGTGCTGCTGTAGGGCAGTGTTGCACTTTGCTTTCAGCCTGGCTAGCTTGGGTGCCACAGCCAACGGTAGTCCTCGTATTGCTCACCTGTAAGATGTAACAGGTCTGTTGTGTTAGCACACAGAACCTCTTTATCAGATGTGGATAATCAGCAGTAACGTCCTTAAGGTCCGATAAGCTGCGCTGGACGTAAGTCAGACAAATTGAAGATGGTAGCATGGAGAACCTGAAGCTACTTGTCATGTTCTTAGGACTTCTGTGCTTTCATAATATCTGTTATCTGTCTCTAACATAAAAATTACTTGACAGTTTCTCCAAATTATTTCTTGTATATTAGCTAAGGAATCTTAAATACCGCTTCAGAGGAACACTTGCATTCAATCATAGTGATTTTGATTTGCTTTTAAAGCTGTTAACTATAGATTTAATTTGCTTGAATTTCATTATATCAAGTTGATTATAGCGTTTTCAGATACGGTGGTGATTTTTTTTCTATTTGAAGTCATACCTCATTACGATGAAATGAAACAAATTATTCAATAAATGTATTAAACAGACAAACCACTGCACTGAGGCTCCAGTAATGACTCATTTCAGCAGCAGGGAGTCAGGTGTGCTAGAGGTTGCATCAGCAGCACTTGCAGCACCAGCACTGATCAGCCAGGTGGAACAGACCCTACAAAGCCTATGAACATTGTCAGGTTTGCCAGAAATTACTGAAAGAAAGAGACAAACTGCATTGCTAAGTGTGTGCAGATGTGAAGCTTGGCTAACACAACTGTTTGTAACATTCGTCTGTGGTATTTTCTTGGCAAAGCAAGTGAGCATTCAGAAAGCATGACCCTAGCAGATCAGTAGACATGCTAACAATGCTCAAAGGAAGCAACCTTGGAACGCTGCAAGTATCTCATAAAAAAGCTCTCTGAGCAGTGTACATGACTAAACTGGAGCGGGAGAAAAGACTTTTTTTTTTCTCTAGATAATTTTCAACATTTAGCTTTCTACTGACTTTTTTCTATAGTTAAATAGAGACTTTTTTGACTCATCCTGTTAAACCTTTATGCGGGTTCCAGGAACATCTAATTCTTTTTCAGTGCTGCTTTTCTGTGGAGAAGTAATTTACATTTTTGTGCATTGACTGAAAGAAAAGGAAAGTCCAGCACTTGAGTTACTTGGCTGCAATTCTTCTGCTAGGATACTTCTGTGAATTTCACAGATAGGACCCCAAGAATGTGTGCAGCCTGGCCAGGGCTGTGCAGACCACTCTGGTAGGTTTTAATGGTGTAGCAGTTACCTGTGCTCTGAGATTTCTGTTACTTTAAATAAAATCTGACAGTTGTAATGTTTTGGTCTATACCTGTTATAATTCACCTACATCTGCTGCTGAGTCTGGGTGAAGCTAAAATGCCTGGGAGATTTGAAGGTGAAACTTTGGAAGGTTACATATATAAAAGAATATAAAATTCTTATACAAAAGAATATGCATAAATATACAACATAATATGACATCTACAACATCTTCAAAGAAATTACAGAGATCCTCTAAGAGACGTCCCATTAGAAGTATTGAGTTTCCCCTAAGTGGCAATTTCTGCTCATAAAGAATAAGCATTGCATGCTTTCCATTAGCTTACATTGTTTAATACAAGCTCTGTAGATGCTGTTCTTTGCCAACTATACATTTCATT